AGATGGAACTCAAGAAGAGGGCAAACACTTTTTCATACCACTGTACCTGTGTTTAGAATCAGAATCAGAATAATGCCAAAAGAAATCATGTGGTCACAGTTACACACACACAATAACGGTAACAGACTGAACTAAATTAAATAATACAATATATTACAAAGTTTACAAAATACAAGAAATAACTCTAATATATACAAGTAGCTCAGTTGTAAATATCCAGACTATTGCAGAGGTGAAATATATATGATTGACGTTTTACTCTGACCTGTAAAACTTTGTTAGTTATTATTTTACTGTAAAGCATGTGCAAAGGGGTGTAACTATTGTACTGTGTACTGTAGATGGCCACGGGCAGCAATGATTTCCTGTGTCGTTCATTGGTGCATTATGGGTAATCTCAGCCTCTCACTGAACGTGCTCCTGTGACTGGCAAGGATGTCAAGGAATGGGTGGGAGAGTGGGTGTCCATATCTTGCACAGTCATGTCTGAGTTTCAGTATCAGTAAACGTACCTCGTTTCTCAACGGCATCCACACAGATCCGAACAAACTTTGGTACTGTGGTCCCTTCACGCTCACAGAGACTCGACAGATGGCAGCCAAACACTCGATCTGAGACAGATGTTATAACAATTTGATCAATTGGAATTTTTGTTAACTTATTAGATTAAGCATATTTTGAAAGCCAGTTCACTCACAAAAATCATTTTAAGCTTGTGTTAGGGCCAGGGTTAGGTTGTAAAACCAAACCTGTAACACTGTATATAAAAACACGATGTTATTTTATTTCTTAAACCTCTCTAGTCTGCCAGCAATGCTGTTGAAACAAAATTTGTCCAAACTGTTAGTTAAGTTTTAATTTTAAAAAAAGACATTTCTAAAGGAAAGGAAGCAAGCATAAAAACGCGACTGGAAAACAAGGCTTCAGAAAAAAGGCCGAAGCAAAACAAGCAGAAACCTTTTATCAGGCCTTTCTCCTGTAGAGTCTTCATGGATGGACGTCTGATGATGAATTTCTTCAGCCTGTTTTTCACTCCATTCTTGTCTGCGCTATCTGAGGCGCTGTGCTTCAGCTTTGAGCTGCCAAACATGTCTACAGAAGAAACAGGTTGAGGTACAGCTTTGAGATACTATGTAAAACAAGTGTTGTTGTGATTTGGTGCTGTGTAAATAAAACAGGATGGAATTAAGTTGAATTGAATGTAAAAAGGGTTAGGGATTAAAAAAACAGAAATTAATTATTTTCAAATCTTATCAACCCATATTTTACTCACAATAGAACAGAAAACACACACATGCGCTCATTTTGAATTAGATGGCAGCAAAACATCAGCTCTTTGGACAGAGCAACAAAAAGCTGGATAAGTAAGTGGTACTAAAAAGAAACAGCTGCAGGAACAATTTGCAGCTAATCAGTGTAGTTGTATCCAATCACAACAGCGTTTTAATGGATGCGAAACGATTGTAGCCAATCTTTGTACAGTTTGGGCACAACAGGAGCTCTCAGAAGTGAAAATAGGCAGAGGTTCACCAATCTGCAAAAAACTATGGTGGAATAATGTTCAGAATAATGTTTCTCAATGTTAACTTTAAATGATGTCTCTCATCACCCATATTCTGATGGTACGGTTATTA